TCCACAAGTCTTAAAGTTGCCAAGGTTGGACACCCCTGCTTTAGGCAGAGCAGACTGTGAGCTTAGCCAGTCCTGAGCTTGCAGGCACTTACAATCGAGATCCGTGACTTATTTACAAGGAATCCGACGTTTTAACTTTCAACTGAAGTCCTGCTGAGGATGTCACCTAGCCTGGGGACAAGACGTTCAGAAGCTAAACCGCAAGCTTGGAGAACAAACCGCCACCACTATCTACCACCAGTGGTGGTATGCTACTGGTTCGGCCAAACCGGTAGTAAAAAAAAAAAGCCTCCCATGACCAGCTGAGAGGAGGGGGGAAAAAAGCCCCAATCAGCTGAGAGGAGAAAGAAGAGAAAAGCACAGGATTGGCCCTCCCATCCACCCTTGCGCTTTTCTCTCCTTTATCCTCTCAGCCGATTGGTGCTGCAGGCCTCAGCTGGTGTGGGGAATGTTAGGGGTGCACGCAGGCACATGCCATCACCAAAACGGTAGTGGAACAGGTAGGATCCCACCGCTGTCTATTACCCAAGCTACAAATACTTCCTGTCATTTCTAATCTGCTTTTTCCCTTCACCACAATTCACTTTCCCACCTTCTGTGGTCTCCATGTCAATAGTACTCCCTCCAGCTCACCAAATAGCTGGCAGGCTATGGATGTCATGGTTTTTATCATGCGCGAAATCAGACAACCCACCAAGCATGCTTTCTAAACCTTCTCATCGGTACTAGTAGAATTTGCTGGAGCATCTGAGGCAAGTGTGTAATAATGTAATTTGCAGAAGAACTGGAAGGTGGTGGCAACATTCATTGAACGTCTACATTGGTCCTACCATATGTATCCACATTATGCACATTACCTGCAACGTTTCCATACTGTTTACTAAGGGAAACCTTTTTTTAAAAAAATCTAAAGTTCTCAAAGTTCCATCAGAGGTTACAGAAACAAAGTAAGGCCATATCATCTTTCCAAAATATAAATAAAATGCAATGTTTGATTCTGTCTTGCACTAAACTGAATTGTCATTTTTTGATTTCTTTTGAGCCAACTCAGATGCCTGAAAACTTTTCTTGAACTGCCTATAACCTAGTAAAGGGTGGTTCATAAGAAATGTTTTATCAATATTTGCTTTCTATTCTGTTATCACTTTGTCAATATTTGATTCATTTGAATGAGCAAACTTCTTAATCCTCAAAATGTGCACTATTTTATTTACCTTACCCCAAGGAATGTAAACAGATGATTTTTGAAGGTGTTTAGTTACATGGGGACAAGCATTTTCCAGTAGTTCCCCATCAGTTCCAAAATTATATGTAGTAGTCTTCAAGAACTTCCCATAGAACCTTGAAGGCTGGATTTTGCGACAGTAATATTTAGGAGAAAGCACCCTTCAAACTAAATTTCTCCTGCTATGTTTGGCCTTTCTGAAAATAGAAATATTTATTACATATATCTTGTCTTTAAGGTGGTGAACATATCCAATACACCTGTCTCTTCCTATTTTCCTAACAACAACCCTGTGAGGTAGGTTGGGATGAGAGAGAGTGACTGGCCCAAAGTTACCCAATCAGCTTTCATGCAAGAACTCATGGTCTCCTGCTTTCTAGCCTGGTCCCTTAACCATTAGACCAAACTGGCGCTATTGGTCTTCTTCTGATGGCTACATTAGTTCCCCTTTCTATGATCCCTCTTCCTCTTCTGTGGAAGAGCAGGCTGATTATAAAAATTGCAGGCACCCATATGGCCTTCCTCGCATATGAGTTTTTCCACCAGCATCAGAATAGAAGAGTTGCCAATAAAGCCACAATGTTGAAACAGTATTTAACATAGTAATATAATAATAATAATAGCAATAGAATAGAATATAGGATAGAGTAAAAATGAAAGCACTCAGTGTCAGGCCTGTCCCAGTTTGGACACTTAGGAAAGAAAGACCCTTGACTCCATTTGTTGAGAAAGGTATACTTTTACTAAAGCCAAATGGTTATAGTATAGGAAAAGCCAGATCTGAAGATTCCCATGCAAAGCCACTATTTTTCCCTTCTCCCGAGCCTTACCCCTTGGTCATCTTGCTATTATCCAATAAAGTTCCAATTAATTGTTCTGGTAACAGTTCTACATTTGGTACCTCTTTGGTGGGCATTTGCTTTCCATTACCATGCCAGTGTCCTTGGATCATTCAACCATTGTTGGCATTCTGGTTCCTGTCACACGCAGGCTGCCATCAAAGCAAAGTAGGGCTGAGGCTGTATGATAGCAAATCTGACACTGACATATAGATGTGTAAATTTTACTTTTCACTTTTCACAAAACGTATCTTGTTTTTTCCACCAAAATAAAACATCTCCCAACCCTTCTAGGGAAATCTAAAAAAATTACTTGTCCACGGCTTTTGTGGCTCTTTTGAATCTGGGTCGGTCTATTTGGGTATAGTTTTTTTTTAAGTGACAAGCTAATGCCTTTTCCCATTCCATATTGTAGATTTAAAAAAAAATCAAATCATTGCTATAGTTTAGTTATTGAACAGGTGCTGCTAGGTACTGCACACTGGATTACATTAAACAGTCAGCATCATAACCATTATTGATGAATTGGTACATTATATTCCTGGTCTATTTGACCTTCCCCATTTTATATCCAAGTTAATTAGCATATTCCAGTGCACTGTGAACATTGTCACATTACAGAATGTTTTTTCAAACAGTACCAGAAACGCAAGATTGGTCTCCTTCCAAGAAATTTTCAAACCCCATGCTAATAATGGCAGACTTGAAGAGGTGACAATTATTTATTTAATATACACTCTGCCTTTCTGCTTATATACATTAAATACTTACTCATCTTATACAAACATTTGTACATGATAGACAGAAAGAAAAGAGTATGCTTACATTTGGCACATGTCATGATAGTTATTTAGCTATTATTATTTAGTATGATTCAACCATATATACCAATTTTAAATATTCCCCCATGTTTCAAATTTTTTTTTTAATTCTGCATTAAGATGCATTATTTTAGTTTCTAAATACCTTCAGCTGCAAATTGTTTACTCAGTTATCTGTAAATTTCACTGAGTACAAAGATATCCGCTAATTGATTCACTGTGGAAATGGAGTCATGATAAATCTGTCAACTATCTACTTGATTCTTAATCCTTGTCCAAACACCAACTTTGAGAAAGAGGCATTTTACTTAACAATAATTGAACAAGCACTTTTTCATTTGGGAGAATAAATCAGTAGTGATGCTGAGGTTCTCTTTTCTTCAGCTTCTTGCTCTGCATCAGATACATAGCTGGATGATGGAACTTCCCAGGGTTGACTTTCAAACAGTGGTGATGCTGGAAGGTGTTGGGAGATTAAATAATTAAGCTTAGCATTAAGAAAATTCCTACCTTTATCTTATACATTGCATTTAAGAACATACTATCAGACCAGAGACTTATCTAGTCGAGCCTCCTGTTTCTTGCAAGGATCAATCATTTTAGGAATGCAAATCTAAGCAAATTCTCTTCTGTCATCTACAGCAGCTGTCTCCAATCTTTCTGGCTTTGTGGATCATCAGGGGGGCAGGGGATGGCACCGCACGAGCGGCATGCAGGAGCAGGCAGCTCCATTTGCACAAGTGGTGGGCACACATGCACACTGCTCACACAAATGGAGCCATGTGTGCTTGCTCACCTGCCGACTGCGTGCATAAGTGGAGCTGTGCATGTGCACACCCTCACCCACTGCCTCCACAGCCCGCTTCTGAATGGGCCACGGGACGGTGGTGGGCCATGGCACGAGAGTTGGGGACCGCTGGTCTACAGCATTCATATTAAAGAGATCTCCAAATGGGCTCTCCCTAAAGTTCAAATCAAGGCACAAACATTAAAGGAGGCAACACCTCTATTTCTTCAACCATCCACCCCATATTTATTTTAAACGAACAACACTGACTTGGTGAACTTCTGTGAGTTCGGGTAAAGGCTTTCTTTCCTTTCTCACTCAGTTTTGGGACGGGCCCTCGAGCAGGTGCAGGACGTATTTCAGCATTCCACTGAGCACTCTGAGCAAACAGTTTAGCTGTTGATTTAGTCAGAGGGTAGCTGTTTGGCTGATGCAGAGCCCAGTTTGGGCGAACTGTCACTTCTGCCTGTGAGTCAAGTTCTGCTGAGAGAGACATCTAGGAAACAAAGTGGATAAATATGAAATTTGGAACAGAGCAAGTGATGACCTTTCTGGTAACATAACGTGAAAATGAAGCTTTGACTTCCATGGTTTTAGTGATAAAATTGAAAAAGATAGATGAACTCCAAGAGGTACCTTGCACTGAGCCTAGATTTGGCTGTTGATTGTCAAGTATTTTCTGCTAAGGGATGTGGATTAGTGTATAGCATGGTAAATAATGCTAATTGCTAAAATGCTCTTGAGGGTAGTAAACTCTGGAGCATGAAGAGCCATAATTATGCCAAAATGTTCTCCAAAAAATTAATACGGAATTCTGAAAATCTCAGCTTTTATGATCCTGGGCCTCATTAGTCATCCATTCCTAAACGTAGTGATAGCAAAATCATGAATTGCATGTTGTAATGTCACAATGCAAGCTCTATCTTTTTGTTCTTGTAAGTTACATGCAATGTGCGGAACTTGGGTTGTGATGTGCATTTCATCATTTGCTTCCCTTTGACCCTATAGATATCCTTGATGAACTAGTGGACCCTAAAGGCGTGTTTAGTTTTAAGGGAGTTAAAAATGAGAAAGTAAAGCTAGCAGTAGAAAGGTATAGTTTCAGCCGCATTATCCAGAATCTTCCTATGTCCAAGCTGCTGGATCTCCATAATTCCTCAAGCCCTCTTACAGTACCCACCTTTCCCCAGCTAATACGCTATAATCAATTAATCCATGGATTTTCCCCACGCTTAACAGGAAGGAGGGAGGATAGACAAAAAGGCAAGAGAAAGAAACAATGAGAGGAAACAATTATCTCAGTGGCCGTTTATATACAGTATATATCCTAGATGTTTGTAGATACCTGTATTTTTTTAATGTTTTTACTCTTTATTGTTTTTAATCGTATCAATTGTTTTGTAATTTTAGAATTGTAAGCTGCCCAGAATCACGTGGTTGAGTTGGGCGGCTATAGAAATGGAATGAATGAATGAATTTCTTATTGTGAGATATAATGAAGCTATAAAAAATCTTTAAATGAATAATCTTACAAATACATTACAAATATCTGGGGAAAATGGGTGGGGATTTCCCCCCATATGATAAAAACAGTTTGATCACAACATGATAGGTAGTATGAAGAATCTTGAAATGGTGTTTTACAGAAGTTTGGATAAACTCTAGATTCATGTAAGAGAGACTTTTTTTTTTTTTTACTTTTGTCTTTGCTGATATAAATCCAGTTTGTTCTAATCAGTTCAAAATCAGGATTTTAGTTCAACCCTAACCCTAACCCTACATTTCCAGTTTAATTGGAAATTAATAGTTTTTGCATTTTCAGAATAGGCCTCCATAATTCTTTATATCTACGGGTCTCTGGCTATTACTGTATTTTGGCCTTGGGTTCAGGTTTCCCCTAATTGTTCATTTATTATTTATTTCTTACTTCTATAATAGTAATGTTGATGAACAAGTGTTACAAATAATAACATCTTCATAAATGTAGCTATCTCCTTTCTTTGAACCAAAAACAATTTGGAACAAAAAAAATCCTCGAACTATTAAAGTACACTTCTGACTCTACAACATTAACTTTTACATATTAAAGCAAATTAAAGTTTTGGAAGTCTCTAACTTATCCTAAATATCCTGGTGTACCTGTGGATTCTTTTCAAACCCTTGCACTTCACTACCAGGAGCAGACAAACAGATCACTGAAGCTCTGTTTTAATTTATTGTGCTGTCTGAATTGGGATCCTTGGCTTGTTTCCTCTCCATATTAAGAAACAAAACTCAAACTATGGCTCACAGCACCAGGGCCTTAATTCAGATATCATAAAAAGATCATGAAATAAATGTCCATGTTCTGTTCATCTGTCCCTTTTTGGCCAGAAAAGCATGTGATCCAAATGTCCACTCATCTGTCTCATTCATGCTACCACAGAATTGTTTCACAAATGGTTGGTTTGGGCTCCTGCAGTGCTATTGGCTCCAACAAGCAGGGGGGTTAGACTGAAAACGCCATTAAGTCCAAACTTTGGATAGGTTATAAAATGCTGCATTTATCTATGCAGCCTGCATGTTACCCATCGTGATGAAAATGTGACAGTCACTGATTCTTTGCGAGAATCCTACCTTGAGACATCCGCAGGAAGCCATTCATCTTTATATGGCAGGGCATTCTAATATGGCCTGTGATTTCAGACCTGAAATTTGAAGTGATACTTTGCAATACTATTTATTAACCCCAATGATAGCTAGTGCTTAGTAATGCAAAACAAAAAAGCACATTAATCAACAAGACTTACGATTTCCAGTCAGAAGGAGACATACTTTAGGATTGCAGTCTTAATTTATTTATCTAATATCTTCTCTAGCACTTATTATAAAGAGATTGTGGCAGATAAAGCTTGCCTGGCAACAGTTTTTAAGTCTGGAAAGGCTAATGGCAGCATTTCCCATTTCCGCAGCATTTGGTTGAAAAAGCTAGACTTAGAGACAATTTGTGAATGACAGAGATTAATTTGCAATATGACTGGCAGGTAGCAATTGAAAGAGCAGCAGATGGGCATGCTGGAGCTTAAAATGTCAAAGATTCTGATGCTGCATGACAGGATAGGATGGTTGGCAGAATGGGAACCTGCTCCTGCCTCTCTGCCCCCAGAAACAGAGATAGCGCAGAATGAACAATGGAAAGCAAATGCTCCAATGGGCTTCATATACCTGATTCCCACAATCTGGTGTTCTTGATAATTCACTGTTAGGATGCTAAAGGAGGAGGAAGTAGAAGTAGAACACATTAATTCACAAAGCCTTGGTAAGGCTCCTCAGAGCAAGGAAAATAGTAAGACAGTAGAAGGTGTTTTTTGGAACTTAGTATTTTGTATTATTTGATAAGGTTAATGTTGGACTTGAGCAAGCACATATTGGGGATTTCATTCCAGCATTAAATCAAAAATCATCACTGAATTGCTAAATGAATACAGAATAACTACAGAACTCACTCTTCAAATATGTACAAATGACAACATTGTTATGATAGATGGCTCAACAAAAACAGGAACCAAAATTTTAAATATATCTACACTGGAATTTATTTCATGGTGGACAACTTGGAACCATGCAGGTATCCATGTTTTCAGCTTTAAGTTATAAGAAGCTACACTAATAATCATAACAATAGTAGTAGAAGTAATGATGAAAAGCCAGGAAAGGTGAAGATCCATCTTGGAAATACTTTTCCAAGAAATTCAAGATTAAATCTTTAATAGAATAATTTTAGGTCTCATCTTAGATCAATTAGAAATATCTCATTGGTTCCAATATCTTCAAATATATAATTCAAAACAATTACCTAAATCAAGATGTAACATTCAGAAACCTAATCAAAAACTAACAACACAAAATTCAGAAGCCCTATTGGACTTATTTAGAAGGTATTACTGGAATATGACACTGAACAAGTGCAGTATCTAACAGAAAGGGTGAAAGTGTAATGCCCAGAGGTACCCCACCGACCAAGAGGCTTGGACTCAAGTTCTCCTCTCTTGTCAACACTGACTGAACCCAAAAACAGAGAAAGCAGGACACTACTTCAGCACTATTCTGCAGGCAGACCAGAGTAATACTGTACTATGGCTGATAACACTGAAAGAGATCACTAAGAATCTTGGTCCCAGTTCCTTTAGAAGTCATTAACAAACACAACTATTGCTATCCCTCTACTATGCCTGGGTCTGAAATATGACTGAAAGGTGTTCAGATAATCAGGACCCTCTGTAGTCACAATCCACCACTTTTCTCAACAAACTTCTCTAAAATGGAAAAAGTTAGAGCCTGAATAAAAATTCTTTGAAGACCTCTTGAGGAAGTGGTGCATCACTGCCCTCTTCAAGACAGCAGTGACAAGACCTCCTCAGTGAATCCATGACTACAGCATGGATCCAATCATCCATCACCTCCCACAGTGTACACCAACTAAGAGGGGCAGAGATCTAAAAAAAAAAAAAAAAGAGGTAGCTAAGTTAGCACCTGAGGATACTGTTCACCTCCTCAGGACCTATACGTTCAAAGCTGTCTTCGTTAAACACACCAGACATTGCTTCTGTCATCTCAAAAGGTCAGAATCTAGCTCCGAGTCATCCTTCTATTCCCCACCAGTCAGCTAGAACTGAAGAAGCTTCTTGGGTAAGAAGCAAAACACTTTCAAGGAAAAAAACTAAGAAACTCCAGTTGTCTTTTGAAAACCATCTTTGAGACAACGTGACCTGGATTATTGAAAATCTCCATAGATATTCATCTTTTAGGAATTTAGTGCAATGAATGTGAACATAGGTTGGAATCAGATTCTCTTGAATACTACCCTATTATGCATAAAATAAAAAAGGTAATCTATCTATTAGGATATTAGTTTTCTATTGGCAGTGCACTGCTGTTCCCATATTGGTAAAGTATCATTAATGAAACGGGGGGATCACAACTTAATTACACTGTCCAGCAGAACATATAACTTACATGGCTTTACTCTGCACAGTGATATCTGCCTATGTCTTTAAAAGCTGATCCTGAGGATACCTCCTGTGAGCCCTACTCTGCAAAAAATAGGGCCTGTCTTGCCAGCAGTGATAACAATTTATATGCAAAGATTAAATAGCAGCTTTGAGGTCTGATTGTTAAATTATGGGCTGCTATACTCAAACAGCAATGAAATGCAGTGGGGCACAAATAAAGGGGCATTGGGAAAGCTGCCAATAGCCGAGGGTTGGACTCTTCACTGAGTCTGTTTCTTGGCGTACACAGTCAACCAATCACAATACTTGCCAGAGACTTTGCTTTTCTGAGTTTGTACGTTCCATTGCCTGGTTTCCTCTTTTTCTGAAAGGCTGACTGACTGAGGTCTGGGGTGAGACCTCCTCCTTTTCTTCTACTGCAAGAGTGGAGAAAATGGATATATTAAAAAATGCTATAATGGTTTCTTAAGACAGACAAGAGTTGTATTTGTGGATCAAATGATACCCGGACCTGCAATGAGACTAGTTAGGACAAAAGCACTTGCTCTGAAAGACAAAAGCCTCATCTCAGTGAAATTGAGAAAGCATGCACACAGCTTGCACAATGCACGAGGGCTTAAAAGCAGATATGCAGATGGTTCAGGATTCTAGAATTTTAAAGATCAGTTGTAATCCATAACCTGGAGTTGGCTTGTTTTGAAAGTGCTACTATCTGTTGGCTGCAAAATGATTTCTTATTTTGCTCATTCTGAAAATATCAAACAATTAAATATCAGAAAATCTTGGTGAGACTTGGGGTATTCAAGGCCTTGCTGCATCATAAGATTCTTAGCAATGCTCAGTGTCAGAGACATGAAGATAGATCTAGCACAACGGGATTATATACTCAATGCTTGGAGTTGCTCTATGTATATCTGAAGATGACAACACAACTCTTCTATGACTTTCTCAGAATTCTGGTAGAGCCCAGGCTTAGCCAAAACATCTGACCACCACAAGAACTCCTGCTCATATTTTACTGACTGAAATTAGAGTTCTACTGGGGTGTGCCATTAATCTTGAAAGGAGATACATGAGGTAGTAGCGAATGAAAGGTTTGGCTTTTGAGGATAAATAGAATCTTTTGACCAGGTCCTGCTGGTGCAGATGGCAATGTAACATAAAACATAACATTGGTTTTGTTGCCAGAGAAAGACAGACATAGATGAAAATTACTGTAGGAGAAAGGTGTCTTACGCCTGCCTTGCCTGCTCAATGGGATCAAAGTTATCCAAATAGTTGAAACGAATTATATCTGTTGGATGCTTATCTGATGAACGCCAAGGCGGGAGATCTCTCTTTCCTTTGTTTATCTTTCTTCTTAACAGAGATGCTGATTCGAGGACTGACAACAAAGTCTGCTTTATTTCTGGGACTTCTTTTGTTATTGGCTGAACATCAGCCACCACAAAGTCATTTTTTAGTGGGGTCTAAAGAAAGGAAAATGTAAGCAAAGTAAACCCAAAGCTGTTATAGATAGTCCATACTATGCTGAGTCTCTCCTCTAATGTCCCCCATAGTATTTCTATTTATTGCTTGAAAAGAGTAGTGCACTGGTAGTAATGCACTGATTCATCATAACTCACAGTCTCTCCGAGTCTGTTACAGAGACTGAAGGCACAAAAGAACTGGAAAAAATGGCTGTTTATTAAACAATGAACAATCCAAGATTATCCCTCCTTAACTAAAGATGAAAACAAAATCTTTTCCCCTATATTTTCTTGTCAGGTACCAAAATTTTGATGCACATTAATTCTGATCGCGTAAATTTTCTTTAGAGATCATGACCAGCCATGACAAATATATTTATGTGAAATTGTTTTTAGGTTTTAAAGCCAAACAAGTCGATGACCATCATTATATCTTGCAGGAATAAATTCCATCCATTCTTTAAGAAATGAGTATGCCCAGAATCTCTGGCTATTGAACTTAATTGGATAATTTCAAATTATGCACTAGAAATATAACTGAGTTGTATTAAACCTGCTCCAGCTTTTTCAACATCATCTGAGAACGGTTTTTTCCAACACTATATAAATTTGTTGGGGAATACAGATGGAGCCATCTCTACACAAACAATGTGCTCTATCATCAAAACACAGGCCTTCCTTTAACATTAACATTACTATGCCTTTATATATGTAAACACTGAGCACCAGCTCAGATAGCCACACATGAATTTTCAGGAGATTATACATTTTGTGAGACAGTTCAGAATTTCAGAACAGCATCTAGTAGAATCTTATAAAACTGTTTTGCTTCAATATGGAATTATAAGCCTGAATGTTTCCCATGTTTACTAAAACACCCTTGCATATGGAAATTTTAAACATCCAATATATAATAAAAACATTCAGATTTATTACCCAAAATACTGAATTTCCAAAGGCTCCGCAAATACCTTAGGTTTGGTGACTTGAAATTTTTCTACTGTCTTAATATAGTGTTTCTTCCAGATTCCTTGCTCAAATGGAATTGAAGAGAAATCGATGTACCATTCAAAACGCAGACATTTTGGCATCCAGAGTTGGTCAAGCTGGGTTAAGTAGTTCCAGTGCCAATTTACCTGAAAGTGCCAAAAACATCTTCACTGTGTTTCAAAGGACTATGTCATAGCAAAAACCCATGAGATATGGAGCATATCCTCCAAGTACAAAACACATTTTGACAATTTGAAAACATAATGCTATTTTAACTCAAACTGATAATTCCAAGGAAGTGTTCATTTGAATATATATTCTTTGATACAACCTAGGCTCTGAACTTTTGAAGTATATGTCAGTGCTACATTTCATAAATGTTTATCTTCTAATTTGCAGTATGTGGTTAGATGTATTTCCTGCAATTATTTTGGCCAATGCTGCTGTAAGAAGAAACTTATAGAATAACTGCATCAATAAGAAAAAAGAATTATTATGTTATTAAATTGCTTTGATTTACATACTGCAAAGCAGTACAAAGCACTGCATAAGTCATTGGTCTGGCTGAACAAATACTGCATGTTTTCGCAAGCAATGATCTCCAGAGTTTTCCCCAGCCTTAATCACTCAATCTCTTTTAAGAGACCCTGGAAGTTTCTGTACATAAAGCAGGTGTTTTATAAAAGAGTTAAGAGTCCTCCCAGTCACCAATAAAGGCTATTTTATAATCCAATCTGATTTGCTTTACATATATTAAACTAAAATTGGCATGACCCTAAGCTAGCAATTAGCAGTATTCTGGCCAGTCATTACTAGAATTATATCAATCCCAAAGACTTTAGGATAGGGAAGACCATAATTCTAGCCCATTGTTATTTATTCTGACATAAAATGGGTCTCCAAGGTCACAACTGAAACATATATTTTGAGAATCCTTTAACCGGGCTTGCCAGAAACTAGATTCACAAAGTTTAGAACCTAAATTAGGTATGGTGATGAGCCTAAACAATGAGTTGGAAATTCATCAATGCCAATGTGACTCTAAACTGATCTTGCAGTTATGTTCACGTGTTGTAAAAATTGCTAGCTGGAAAAGACTCAGATAATTAATCTACTTCCCATGTACCCATCAAGGCATATAGGAGTTGATCAGTCTTAGTGTGAAAACTACACAAATGAAATTAATTAGCATTTCCTTACTCAGCTCATTCTGTTGTCAGAGATTTACCAGTAGGAAATATTTCCTAAACTATAATTAATACCTATTAAGTAGGAGATTTCTTTGTGCCTTTTACGAAGCAGCATAGGTAACTATTTGTTTTGCCTCAGCTCCTTTGAAAATGTGAAATCTGTTAACATAATCCCCTTAGCTTTCCCTTCTCTAGGCTAAACCTACCCAGTGAGTTCAGCTTTGTATCTCTCCGCTGCATCCTTTCCAACATGCTGAGTTTTACCTGGGCACATCGGGAGAGACTTCGAGGATCCAGGAAAGAAAAGATGTACAAAGTTAACACTCGGGGAAGCTGGGTGGTGAAATCCAGTGCTTCAATTGGCACTCGATCCTGCAGCAGTTTGAAACAGAATTTCAGCTGTGAAAGGGAACAGTGCTCCAAGAAGTCTGTCAGGACTCTTCGCCTTTGACTGTCTGTCCACTTGTCAAACTGTGGGGAAAGAACAGAGTTGTGATTTTCATGACCTCTGGGGGAGCCATTTACAAGTGACTTTCCCTCATTATAGTTTACAAGCGGTAAACTGCAAAGCCAATTATGAACTTAAGCTAATTTCAAAAGTGAAGGAGATCTCTGCACCTTTCCTTGTTGCAAAGCACACGAATGTCTGCCAAGAATTCATTCAGACCACATTTTGCCTTTAGAAGGATTATATAGGTACTTGTGGACAGTTCATAAGCATAATTTAAAAAAGAATGCATTTTGCTTTGTCCTCAACACGGGACACCATTAAAAAGTAGACTGCACTTTTTATTAAAATCAGCAACACAGAATCATAAGAGTTGAAAGGAATTATCAAGCCCCTGCTAGAACACATTCAACTAAAGAAAGCCCAGCATTTCCCTCCATAATTGATTCCACATTCAAACTGCTCTTACTATTAAAATATTCTTAACATTCAATCAGAATATGCCTTCCTATAACAAGAGCATTATTCTGCATTCTGTCTTTTGATGGAGAACAGGCAATCTTTTTTAAGACACTCCTTCAGGTACTGATATGATGATGATAACTTTCCTCAATTGCTTTGATTGTAACATATTTTATGTACATTATTGTAAGTTGCTAAAGTAATGTATGGGTAGCTATATAAAAGGAGGGTGTCAACTCCGAATCGAATCTGGCTGAAGCCGTCTTGTGCTGCTTCACAGTTGCCATGCACTATGGGAGGAGGATGCGGGAGAAATAGCTAGAACGTCTCGTAGACGAAGAGCTCTCCCATGGGAACCAAGGTCATCCCAATAGGTGACAGTGGGAGGAGGAGCAGAAGTGATTGAGGGAGCCCACCACCTGCTTTGATTGGAGAATGTGACATGTGACACCTGGGGAGGGAAACTTTTACTCTTTTAATTACATGGCAACCAGAGTTGTTTTTCAACTGTGCCAACATGATGTGTCCAATAAACATGTTCTCTGAGGAATGTTCCTGCCTTGGAGTTCTGATTTCTTTGGATGTATTACTTGGAATGCTGACAGGAGGGAGGGAGGGAGGGAGGGAGGGAGGGAGGGAGGGAGGAAGGGAGGAAGGAAGGAAGGAAGGAAGGAAGGAAGGAAGGAAGGAAGGAAGGAAGGAAGGGACACCGAGAGATACTAAAGTTTTCTACTGGATCACTGGCCACCTAGTTCAAACTCTGTTCCTAAAAGAAGAAAGTCTGAGAATTTCATAAAAGTGGCATGATATAATAAACTTTTATATATTGAATACACACTGGAAAACATATATTTTTGAAGACCTAGAATACATTGTTTATGTATAGTATAAGGAATAAATAACCTCTAAATCAGCCTTCCCAAATGAATGTCTTTCAGACAATTCCTGTAATTGAAGAATTATAGAACTATGGAAGTAAAAATCTTTTACACTATGAGTGTACCATTTCGGAAATACTCTTAGATAAATGTTATGCTCTTTTTAAAACAATTCATACATTATGTTCTATGGTAAAAAAAATGCTGATTGTAAGGGTTTCGGAGTACTCTTACATTTCCCAGCAACGTCTAGGTATTGTACAATAAATATTGAAGCCTGTGAGATTGACAGAACAATTGAAATAAAAGATGATTACCCATTTCCCCAACAAGTTTCTTCTTTCTTCAAATACCTGTAAAAAAATAAAACTAATTTTAAAATTACCTTTTCTAAGATTCGGTAAGAAATGACTCATTATATTATTAGAAACAATTAAGTAAATGAAGCTGTCAGAGGAACATGATAAAAGAGGCAATTCTAATTTAAGAAATGATCAGAATCCTATCTGCATCAGAAGACCTTGGGCAATACAATTTTCAGTTCAATACAATGATTGAAAAACATCACATTATTTAGTGATGGGAATCCGGGACCTCCTGATTGCTTTTGTAACCCCAAGACACACAGGAAGACACAAGAGTCCCAGGTAAGGAGTGCTGGCATGCCACAGAGGGCCGGAGAGCTTGGGGAGAACCAGTGCTAGCCAAAAGTAAATTGAGGGAGGGCTGACATAGGCTGTGCATGGGTGGGAGGTTGTTGTGGTGGGAAAATGAGTAATTCAGGTTATGGTTATCCCAAAGATACTTTTTCAAAAAGCAACTGGACTTTCTTGCTTTTATTTGAAGACATTTCACTTCTCATCCAAAAAGTTGAAACGTCTTCAAAGAAGTCCAGTTGCCTCTTGAAAAAGAACATTTGGGGAAAAAACGAGGGAGTGTCTTGTAACTTTCCCTGCTGGTTTCCTCACTGCGTTTGCCTGTGGGAAGCCAGCAGTAAGGTTTGCAAATGGTGATCATGTGACCACGGCTCTCTGCAATGTTGTGAGGTTGCCGGGCAATGACAATTTATAGTCTCAATGTATGTGAAGGATATCAACTTTGGAAAGTGTGAAGTATTGCTATAACGTGAACTATCTGGGTTCTATCTAATGCAATTCTCCAGGCAGAATAAGGGTTTATTAGAATCACACAAGAATGATCTTAATACTGTTGAGCAACCAGGTTGATTAGGGGACTGGAGACTAAAACATACAAAGAACAGTTACAGGAACTGGGCTTGGCTAGTCTAGTGAAGAGAAGGACCAGGGGACACATGATAGCAGTCTTCCAATATCCACAGAGAGGAAGGGGTTAAGCTATTTTCTAACACACCTGTAGGCCAGACAAGGAATAATGGATGGAAACTGAACAAGGAGAGATTTAATAAGGAGAAACTTTCTAACAGTGAGAACAATCAACCAATGGAACACCTTGCCCTCAGAAGTTGTGGGAGCATCATCACTTGAGACTTTCAAGAAGAGATTGGACTGCCATTTGTCACAAATGGTGTAGGGTCTCCTGCATAGGCAGAGGGTTGGACTAGATGACCTACAAGGTCCCTTCCAACTCTGATTATCTGTTATACTTGTTAAGAAAGCGGACAAGGACACAAATGATTCATAATTTCCTAAAGTTCCTAAAACTTACCTTATCATTCATGAGCTGATGATTCAGTGGGGTCCAGGTACTCATCTTTGTTTGCATCTTGGGACCATTCAGGTTTTTGGGAGGTCCAAATGCCATGTCCTTTTACATAGAAAAGGAGCCAAAATAATTAAAAATGCCAATAATGATATTTGGAAGTATTTAGCAAATGTAGATTTCAGTTCACATTTCATAATGATAAAAGCTGTTTAAAGTGGGAGATGATAGACCCTTATTAGTTGGAGGTGTTTAGTCACAGGCTGATGCTGTAGAATTCCTGCACTGGATAGGGAACTTAGATGATCTCCAAGTTGCTTTCTAGCTCAATTATTATAAATGAACATCCCTCAATCTGTACTCCTTAGATGTTGGAATTATACTTGCCAGAATTCTAAGTTAGCATGTTGGTTGGGAATTCTGTAAGTTGCAGTCAGAAGTGCAACACAACTAAAAAGTGATAAGTTGGGCAAGGCTGAGCCAAATGGATGTGCAACAGTGATCTTGTGTCTTAATTATATCACAATTCTACTGGTGCAATGAACTTAATGTAGGTCTAATCTGATATAATGTTACGTTAGTTTCAAATACATTATGCTATTAACGTTAATGGCTCATGGTGAAAAACCTTCACAGATTACCAGTCGTTTTCTTTGGCAATTTCAGTAACTGGTATGTTATATGTATACAATTTAGCTAAATCCAATCCAAAATAACAGCCTCTGTAGTTCCTGCAATGGGCTTTGGCCTATGAACCACTAGTGAAATTAAGGATATTTTAAGTATACTAATTATATGTGACATAAATATTTGTTTAAATGACCCAAATTACCCAAAGAAAACTAAAGCTCATATTTGGCATATAACATAAGCTACTGGATAGGACTCTTGGCTCATCTAGTCCAGCAGTCTGTCCTCACAGTAAGCAACCAACTACACAAAGAAGCCGGCTAGAACCCAGCTAGATTTGGGGGGGGGGGGGTGTCCTTGTCTTCTCTTAGCTATTCCAACATTTCCAAATATTCCTCCTAAGATTTTTGTTACATGACCTTATCATTCTGCTTGTTGTCTTCAGGTCATTCTCACTTACAAATATTTCTACTACACTACTCTAAAGCACATTTTTTTGGAAATGCAAGAAATCAATGATATTTATTACAAAATCAAAAACATAAGATTGTTGGACCGTAATTCCTAGAAACATAAAAATATCCATGTTACAAATTGCAATCAAATTAGTTATAATTGAGCTGGAATGCTACAGTTTTTGTAAGATAGCCTTGATATATGCTTGTGTTCTGCTCACGAGTAGTAGGGTTGTGCAAAATCTTAGAAAGATGTGAATTGCAGCACATATTTTTTTCAAATTATGAAAGCAGCCACAATTTTTCTCCTGGCTAATATAGCTGCTTCATAAGTAGTTTGCAGATGCCTCTATGTAAGGCTGTTTTAACAATTCAAAATTGTACTTCTATGTATTGTGATGTATCTGTTTTGAAGGATTAGCATTTAAAGAATGGAACAACAAGATATATCTACAGTATTTTTAAGTTGTGTCACTTTACAGTACCAAAAAGACTGGAATCTGAAGTCCCAATAAACCTCACAGAAAGGCAAGGAGCCAAAGTAAGCTGTTCACAGACATAATTTAATTATATTTAAGAAAGATTAATTACTGTAATGCTTGTATCATATTAACTAAAGTCATTAGACTGATTTTTTTGTATTGTGCTAATCCTGGTTTAACTCAGCAGAAATGCTAAACTGGGGCTTTCAAGATACACAGGGTTTACAAGTAAGAGTCTGTATTTTAAATGGTTGAATAAATCAGTGTATTTAATTTAAGGCGGTAAAATTCATCAATTAATATGTAATCATGGGATTGATTCCATCTTTGTTTTCATACATATTTTTATTAGTCTATGATTTCAAAATATGATGAAGCCATAAACTTTAAAGTCAATTTTTTTTGTTTTCTCTATAAAATCCATTAGGAAAAGAAAAAACAGAAACGAAGTATGAGCTTTCTAGTTGGGAGAACCAGAGTTTACTATAAGCTATATTTTAACTTAACTGGAGAGCATACATTTTTTACAGCAGGTGAAATCAAGAATGTAAGAAAAATATTGAAACTTATATAAAACAAAAGAAACAGAAATGTTGCATCAAAGATTTATAACTAATTCTGAATTAGGAAAGTAGAGAAAGCAACCTATTGTAGCATCTTCTTGCAAACATTCTGCCCAAAACAACAATTTTGTGATTTGATTTATAGTTCATACCCTGTTATTTTAGCCTCAGTGTTTGCATTTCACTTCTAATTGATAGAGCAGTTTGATCTTAAAATGAGTACAATCCACTTGCAATTATTTCTTTGTACACAGGAAAAGGTTTTGATATACTTGGAATTACTCAATTTTTTCAGAAGTACTTTGAGGTTTTGAAACTCGGATAAGTATATGCTTCTCTTAATTATTATTTAGCACTCATAGTGAATGATGTTATTTTTTTTACTATGGCTTTCTGAATAAACCACAGAGACTGAGCTCATGCACCATTCTAAGCTGCCTCAAACTATATTAAGTATTGACATGATAAATAAACAAGTCATTCTCAATTCCTATTAAAATTATGTTATTTAGGGCTCCCTTATGTTATTAGGAATATCTGTATATGTTCAAGACATTCATTTAGACAAGGCTGATTTTATGGTCAGATGTTATTTTATGTATTATTGATACTTTTGAAATTTAAATCTCTATGTTCTTTAATATATAAATTTAGGGTTTTTATAAAAGAAACCGTTTAGATTAGATGTCACTGGGTTCTAACAACACTAATGAAGTAATAAAGACTTGAAAGGATTGGTAGTATCTACAATATTTGTTTACCTTACATAAGAGTCCCTAAAGACTTTTCAAATATAGTTAATTCAAATGTATCCCACCTTGTGTATACTGTACATAAAGCATGATTTAAACAGACTTTCCTTCTAAATTTGGTCCATGATATATTTTTTTTCCTCATGTTCAGTTGTGTTCAATTCTCAGAGACTACCTTCCTTCCAGTTTTCTTGGCAAGGTTTTTCAGAATTGGTTAGGGTTCCTCCTTTCTAAGGTTGAAAGTCAGACACTGGCTCAAAGATACCCAGTAGGCTTTTTGCCTAAGGAGTAACTAGAACTCCCAGTCTCCCAGTTTCTAGCCTGGTATCTTAACCGTTACACCAAAAGTCTCTCGCATAATAAATACAACTGGTAATTTTATATTTTACAGGATTATTCTACTCTTTCGATCTTTATGTCATTTCATGAAACCTTCTACATTATTCAATGATTTTTTTCCTGATCCAGAAATTAAGAATTACAAAAAATTGTTATGATTTACAGTATAAGGAAATGTGGGTTTAATCTTTCATATTTCCAGTGGAAGAAAGGAACTTTGCTTATTTATAAAATCAGTGACTTTATAGAAAGTTAAAGGAAGTTTTCTTTCTGGAAAGAAATAACTTAAATTCAATTCACTTCTGGACTTAACTTCAGAATTAAGTTAATTACGCTAATATAAGGAACTTGTTTTAAAACAGCATTTAATATTATTGTATATATTGCAGAATATATATGGAAAGAAAGGTACTGATTCCTTCATTAATGGAAAATATATATTGAGGGAGAATCTTGAAACACTTGATCAACATGTTTTCTGAGCATTCATTAATATAACTATTACTGCTGTTTTTGTACTGCTGATTTTTCTTTAGTGAGAATATTTGACGTTATAACCTTATGGGAAACCAGATTGTTGGGGGCAATATGCTGACTCTGTAAACCACTTAGAGAGGGTTGTAAAGCACTGTGAAGAGGTATATAAGTCTAAGTGCTATTATGTTATTTAAGCTTTCAGAACCTAATGTGGGAAAGCTAAAGATGGCTGTATCTCATATTAACATGACTAAATGAAGCAGTCCCTTCAAATCTGCTCCAACAGGTTCCTCAACCCAGAGAAGCAGTTTGAAGCATGTCTGAGAGAAATCCATTCCACTAGTAGATGTCACAGACAAATATGCTCTTTCTTATGGAGTATCCAAGTATTACTTTGTTGCTTGTATCCTTAAGATTTATATTGACTGTTTCCTAGTATGCTTTGATTGCTTATTGTATCCTATGACTATCATAAAGTGTTGTACCTTATGATTCTTGACGAATGTATCATTTCTTTTATGTACACTAACAGTATTTGCACCAAGACAAATTCCTTGTGTGTCCAACCACACTTGGCCAATAAAGAATTCTATTCTATTCTAAGCTCTTAATCTAAACAAAAGTTCTTTCTTTTGAGAGGTTATAACTTTGGCTTTGAAACTGAAGATTGGGCTCATGCCCAATTCATCAGCACCATGTGAGGCCTACCTGTTGCCAGTTTTCTTTTGACAATAAAAGTGGCCTTGAAAGTTGACAGCAGGGATGTTCTGGTCCTGGTTTCTGACCTCCTATGTCAGGTCTCTGAAAACAAGTAAAAACAAGTTTTAAAAGATCTATTAATTTAGATATATTGTCATTATTTGTTGAAGTTGGTTTTTGTATTTATCCCTCCATAGGGATTCCAACAAAGAAAAAAGAAAAATTACATCTCATTGCAATCATATACTTGATGTCAACAATGATATGCTAGCATAATTAACAATAGTAAAAATAGCATTGTTATACAAGATACTACTTGTATAACAATTGTTATACACTACTATAGATTAGAAACATAATTTCTCAAATAAAAGTGGAAAACATTTTCTAGATGACATCTAATACATTTAGATTATTTCCAAATAAAATGTACTTTTTGCTCTAAAAATATTATTTGTGTTCTTTACCAATTGGAAGATATAATAACACAAAATAATTAAAACTCTGTGCTTACAATCTTTTGTTACTTAATGCGTATTGTACTGAATTTAAATTTGAGGAAGAGTTAGATAATTCTAGTATATGAGTTTGTATATATAAAATTCCTACCCAATTTTGTTTTACACTAAAAAAAAATGGAGGATATACTGCAGTGTACAGACTCTTTTTTCAATATTAGTGATATATGGTTAAGGCTACTATTTA